ACCTACCCATACCAACCCGTAAATGTACGTGTGGTGCCTTATACACCCGTCACGGCGATTTATGTTGTGATTTAGGGTGCCGGATGTAAATATCGGTACGCTACGCATATATCTATTGATGCCTATTACGCAGATAGAAGCCATTGGATGCTCTTTCGACACATATAACAAGTATACTTACCCAAGTATCAGACAATCTATTCTATATACCCGACAGAACAATCAGAGCTCTACATGGGTGATTTTGGCAGAACGAGGCCGACACTTAACATGCAAAACGGTAATGGTTGGTGCACACACATGTAACTACAAGTACCAACAGTTTTTTCATTTTTCAAGATTTTCAAGACTGGAAGTCACGAGCAAAAAGTTTGTAGTCGTTCAGAGTGATAAAAAAAAACAGGTTATTTTCGTTGTTGAATGATTGTTCAAAACGACAGCCAGGGACAAGCCTACGCGAATTGAAAACAAATTTTTTATTGATTTTAATGATACAAAATTATCGATCAATATACAAGATGTATGCATTATTTACGAAAATAAATTTATTTTTTACAATGAATTTAACTGCGTTGGCTGAGGCCGAGTTTGGAAAAAAAATTTCTGAATTTTAGTGGACTTCAAATGATGCTTATTGTGCGATATTTTTTTTTTTATTTACAGAAATACGGGCGCTTACAGTTTTGGCTATTATTCTTCGCTCGATTCTTCGCTTGTACTGATACTATTCTAGAATGTCTGGGGGGACTTTTCAGTTGGAAGATCAATTTTTTAAGCACTGGCTAGGATATGTCAATACAAATTGAAAAAAAAAAGGTTTTATAATTTTACTGAATAGTACATAATACGTACGTACCAATTAAACCCTTAAATAAAACGCCACCAACTAGTTCCACAATACAGTTTACACTATCCAGAGTATCTTTTTGTCATTTAGAAATGATATTGCTGAGATTGGCAGTGGCATGTGTAGGAGGAAGATGACAAATATTATTGACACAAGTTAAAAGAAAACATATGTATCGTATACTGTAAACCATCTCTCTTATTTGTTGAATTGCATGACTCTGAAAATACATTGGTCTTGTTTTTCTAACGCTTACAACCACATGCTGAATTTCCGATCGTCGATAATAAAGTTTCATGAAAGATCGCAAGAGAGAGAGAGAGAGCTCGGGGCCGTACCATACAACACGTGCACTGCGCCGCGTAATGTATAGGTATGTGTAGATGCGTACATGTCATATATACATATATAACGTATAAGTGAGAGGCCCAAACCAGGATATTACCGTAGTTGCAGTGCCAGCGTCTTCTCAAAGATCGAGCTACTGGGGCTCTGAGCAGATCTTTTCTGCTTCGTCGTTTATTTCCTTACCGATCTATCGTTACCTACCTTGTTTCGTGTTTGCTAAATATTCCGAACGTAAGTACACGAATATGAATACATAGGTACGGTCTCTATCGTGACACATTTTATCGGTACACCCAAGTGTGTACTTACTTGGGGTATACCAAAAATGTTTACCTTACGAGGTGACACTTATATTTAGTAGAAACCAAACCGAGCTTTTTTAACACCCTCGAGTGCACCTTTTGTTTTTATGCAAATCTACGAAGAAAAATTTAACACATTCTTCGGCAAAAGCAACCAACTCAAATGCACTTGTAAGGTTAACCATTTTGTTTAGGCTCCAACTATTTTTGAGGTACGATTACTTGTATAATCGTAAGTACTGATTTCATAGACCTTCAAGTGATATAGTAATACCGATTCCGAGACAGTGGTACATAACGTATGACGGAACTGGATAAATTTTACCCAAAAATCCCAATATCTACAGCACTCTACTATTTGATGAATAAACTAGGTGTTTGTACAATAATATAATATAACGTATATATACGGTGAGCGTAGGTTATATACAAGTTTGTAACGCTCAAACGCGTATGTTAACAATATAATATAATATAATATAAAAGAACTGTGCACGGGTATAGGTATGAATAATATTCTGATTCTCGTTATACACTTCGCACCATGCACCACAGGGCAAAAGCTCAAGCACCTTGTAATGTACAGCATCTCAAATTGCAACGAAAAGAGGAAGGGGAGCACAGAGTGCAGGCACACAGGTCCTCTGATACGCCGATTACAGGTGTATACTATATCATAATATAATCATATGTATATACATACACATATGCAGGCAAGGGGGGGGGGGGCATCACATGCCGGTCAGGTATACGAGAAGACAGCAGACCTGTACCTGCAGCCGTGGAAGGAAGAGAAAAGGGTGCCTATATATATTATATTGAGCCCTCGCATATATGATATCCAGTATATAAATATACACATATATATATATATATATATATTTTTTTTTTTATGTGTGTATCATATAGGTGCAGGGTAGGTGGAGATATATATATATACACATCCCACTGTAGCTCGGAAGCCTTTCCTCATCGGAGTGCACGATGAAAACCGGTTCCTCGCGCTCTCTGTACTATGTGCGCATACATACAGCCTCTCTCGTTTTGCTCGAGACTCTCTTTTATATTTTTCCTTTTGTATATAGGTATACGTATATTATATACTTTGTTCGGTGCAAGATGCAGTGCTGTCTCTACGTCTCATTAGCACCCTGCACCACAGAAGTTGGTTAGCTGGGGGCTGGGGGTGCTAATGTCAAATTGTACTTGGACCAACTTCTACCAACACCTCGTTCAAGTGTAAGCATACGATAACCGTGGGGTGGGATGTTTCAATTTTCATGTTATTGGATATGCTATCAACATGATCTTTATTCTCGTCAAAAATTTTTCTACGAAAATAATCAAAAACAACATTAATACTTTTAGATTAGATTTACCACGTGCTGCGTTGCCAGAGATAAAAATTAAACGTGATGTTTTTTTTTCAGTATACATTACAAGACTCTGGTGGGCAAATGTTACTTTAGTTGTTCAAAATAAATACCGCTGGAATCGTAACGATTCGATGTCAATTGTATTGATAATTTTCACGCATAATTGAAAATTAGCTGAGAAATCAGTGAAAACGAAAGAATTTTCTAATTGGAGAAAGAATAGGGCTGAAATGTCATAAAAAGTCTAATGTTTCAGATAAAATAAATTTCACTGCTGTATGAAAAAAAAAAAAAATGTTATCCATTGCACTGTTCCTCATGACCAATTTTTATTTGCATGATCCCGCGTGGAGCACGCGACACAACTACACCAAGGGTTGCGCGTTATGTAATATGTTCTTTGTTTACCTCTCGTTATCTCAATTGAATCAATGTAATATTAAGTACTGATGCATGGTTAGGCTGGGGGTTATAAAGAAAAAAAAAAATAAAAAAAAAAAATAAAAATTCCCTTCAGTTTTGAGGCGAACGAGAGAATCTTGCCTCAAGGGACATTTATTGCGCAGATAGATCATAAAAATTGTCTAGAACGCATTCTACATTGCATGCAATAAGTACGCATAGATGGAATTTTGCGTGTCGTACCTGATTTACAGATACAAACTTCAGTTAAACATGGGCCATTTGGTATAATAATGGAAAATGAAGGCCACGTTGCAGTGAGGATATCGAGGTGGCTCTCGAGAGCAGCAACATCGGTAACAATAGCGATAGCGGTATATATAGGTGCAACTCACTCGGAACGAAATGGCCTTTCACATATCCGTGAAAGTTATCGGTACCACTGTATACCAAGTTTTATAAGTGTATATACACGGCCATGTGGGTACCTATACGCGTCGTGTCTTGCATGTATGGGTATATTATACCTATATAAAGTTGTGCCTACACCTATACTTGCGCGTCACGCATATCGTATTCGCGCAAAGTTTCCAAGTTTTTTGCACTTTGTAAAAAATAATAGCAAAGTTTCCCATCATATCTCATTATGTACTGCATACAGGTATCAAGTGACAATGTACATCCTTGTACTGGCCGTGAATAGCCAATAATTAATCCAAACGATAACTAAAGAGTTTGCACGGCGGGAAATTTAAAAATCAAGACCCCCCCGCCCGCCATTGATCTGCTGCTCCTGCTGGAGCGCAACAAAAATACTTTAGGTGTATTGTGCACGTTTTATACACGTGAGTAGGTAAGTACTGTGCTCTCCTTTCAAGACTGGGAGGGAATCGGTATATAAGTAAGTTACAGTGATCCATACAGATAGAGTATATATATATATATATATGTATACGGTGGTACAAAGACTCTGCGTGCGTATGTGTGTACAGGTACTTATGTATCGGGCTGACGGAGAGCGGGGCGAGGGATTTTAAAACTTTTCTGCAGCATCCGCTCGGTCTTCTTCTTCTTCTTCTTCTTCTCTTGGCCCCGAGAGAAAGAGAGGCCCGATGGTTGTGTTAACTCCCGGCTTGGCTGGCAGTCCGTTCTCCCTCCCTCCCTCCCTCCCTCGAGGCCCCGAACGAGCGGCGAAAGAAGGGGCCTTCCGAGACTGTCTAGCGGCCTTTTCTCTCTCTCTCTCTCTCTCTCTCTCTGGGCCAGGTGCTCGTGTTCACCGCTGCCGTGGTCGAGAATAACGCCCAGTTCAGTGCCGCTACCCACAAGTAGATACACCTACACGCGGCTCCACGAGAGGGGCTCGAAAGAAGCTCCGTCGTCGTGGTTGTCTCGTGAATGACCAAAGTAGTACCGATACAAGTAGCCGTGATTATTATTTTTGGTGACGGTAAAGCATGTGATGTGCGCGCGTGTACGTGCAAAGGTAGCTGTACCCCGTAATATATCCCACGAGTGGAGGATCAATGGCCTCGGAGAGGATATCGTCGATGAGTGGCGGTGAGATGCCGTTGCCGAGGGGTCGCGGCGAGCGCGCCACCAGACTTGGCTGGACCAAATCGCTTCCACCTATGCCCCGATCCTCTGGCAATTAATAATCATAGCCACTCGAGGCGCCCGGGGGAGAAAAGTGGCGTGGCCACACAGCTCTGGAGGCCGGTCTGAGATATGGCCACTTTGGGCCTCTCAAAGGTCTTCATCTTGGACAAGTACTTCACCGAGTTGCAAAAGTTCTGGGAGACCGAGAAGAAACTTCAAGGTACGTTGTTCCAGGGAAACCGATGCTCGTAATGATGTATAATGAGAGACCGGGGCTGGAAGGGGGAGGGATATAAACGCGATGCACAGGTGGATTTCATGCATTCGGACGGGCGGACAAGTGTAAACACGCATGCCCCGTGTCGCGGTGGTGGGCGCATATAATTGTCAGAGTGCCGAGAGGGTGGGCCTTATATCGGCTCCCCCTTTACTTCTTTCCTCGTGTTCCGAATTCGTGTTACAGAACAGATCGGTAGATGGAACTTTCGAGGCGGCTCGTAACGGGGGGACCTGCGCTGCATGAGTCATAAGTATCAAGTGTGCACGTATTATATACGAACACGTACGAACACGCGCTGTTATATGTATTATATAGCTACCCATCTTCAATTTCAACAAAATTTACAGGACTATATCGTTGTTTATTGTTTTCTCTACTGTTACATCTACACACGATAAGGCGCTTTTTCAATTTGTTCATAAATAACCCCAGTCTGTACTTATGAGAATTTGGCGAGTGTCACAAAGTTTTATGACTCGAGGATTAATAGTGCTTTAACCTTATTATACATGGCAATGTACTCCGCTTGCCCTTTTCAAGAGCCCTTTGTCGCTTCACGTGACAATTACAGAAAAGGTGTTATAAAATTGACGATGAATCGGCGAAAACGAAAAAAATAAATAAAAGTATCAATAGAGCAGGTGACAGAAAGCTACAGAGAGTCGTAGAGCTACAGCTTTAGCGGAGAGCATTTTCCTCTAGGGGAACGAGCGACCCATCATTAGCTTTGTTTTAATGGGCGATCGTTAGGTGGACATTAACCTACGGATGAGCAGATACCTACATCCCTATACTTATGGAATGATATACACGGGTACAGTATAAAGGAACAGCGTATATATATATATATACACACATCATTGACGATTTTCACTCCCGTGAATTTACTTGCAAGTACTTAACGTACATGTAATCTACGTACAACCGAACAACACTGACAATGAGTATTGTAAGAAAAATAACCATATTTTTGAAAAAGGTGACGATTTGCATCGCAAAAAAAGTCTTGAAATGTCCATACCCATACATAGCAAAAACCACCATACTGATGTTTTTATAACAATTCCAGCCGATCCCTTTTTTCTTCAAAAATAAACTCTATATCTTCTCTCTCTCTCTCTCGCTTTCTTTTCTCTTTAACCCTGAATCCACAGCACCTACCTGTGAGCGATTGACTCCGTACAGCTCTTCCCATTGTCACGAATGCCGTGAAATTATTTTGTTTTTTTTTATAACTGCAAGCATCAGGTATATCGTCGCTCCGGTGTCGACACTGATTGTTCGTACCCTACGGGCCCGCTGGATCAAGCAGCTACGTGCCAGTGAAATTTAAACCAGTTTCGATTCTTTAAACTTGTATAACCCATTGCGAATGCAGCTCCGATCGAATACCAGTTTGTACTTTTCAGCAGGTTCGATCCACTTTCAGCCAATCCGACAGCAGCAGCCTTTTTTAAGGCATGACATGCATTCGACCCATGCACCGAATTCGCCCTGATTTCATGCCTTCGCGCCTTGTTTTTCCAACAACATATACAATACTTATATTACCAGCATTAACTAAATTCATTTGACGTGGGGATTGATGTAGCATAACTTTCTCACAGCTTATATGCTCGTGCATGTACGTACAACGAAGAAAAAAAATTTACCCAATGCCACCCCGCGCAACTCGGTCATCCTAATTTTTAGTGGAGACTAACTTCATCGTGCACTGTTATCACTGAGTACTGGTAGTTTTAATATCATTTACAGCATTGAAAAAAAAAAAAAAAAAAAAAGCTTACAATATTTTTAGTAAAACTCGTCAGTGTGATGTATGATGTACGTGGTACGTGCAAGTGTACCTACCACTGATTGTCGAAACATGTTAATCAAGGGTCACCGGGAGTGCCCAGGTGTGCACACTTTTTTTTTTTTTTTTTTTTTTTTTAATACTGAGCGCAATGACATGGGATAGGTATAGGTGTCCCTTGAATGAAAAAAATTTCATCAAAATTGATTGTCGTCGTCGGCAACAGCGTACATATAGCAGTATAAGGTTGTACAGTGGCGATGGTGATGCAGAATCGGGATGTCGGTATAGGGGTATAATTATATCGACGCCGCAAACGAATAAAAGCTTAGCTGATTATTTTAAATTGAGAAATGTGAGCTAAGCTTTTCTTCGTTTGGGGCGTCGATATACACATATACACCATATTTCGAAAACTCGAAAATCAGTTGCTCTAAAAGCGCAGGTGGAGAGAGAGAGAGAGAGAGAGAGAGAGAGAGAGAGAGAGAGAGGTGCGCTCCAACACAATGAAGCCGATACAAAATCCATGTCCAGTTTTCGCTCTGCACATCCGACAAAAGCCCTGTGCATCAGCGTTATATGGAAAGATAGATACAGGGCTCGCTCGAACGCCAGCGCATTGTACAGCTCTCTCTCTCTCTCTCTCTCTCTCTGGTTCACTGGCTGGGAGCGCACCCGCGAGTCTATGTATACATATATATATATATATATATATATATATATATACACGTTTATTACATCCACAGAGATACTCGGATACAGCGAAACCGGACGAGACTTTACGAAATCGAATCATCCCGGGGCTAGCGAATTTTGCGGAACCCATTCGTGAAGTTATTCGCGCCCGCCCCCCTCGCGTATATATATATATGTACGTTCTGCACAAAAGAAGAGCCGAAATATTGTGGGCGGGCACAGATAGCGAGGCAAGGACACGCGAGACGCATATTACTAGTCGACTCGACTCTTACCCTCTTTTTCCCTTCCCCTATACTTAATACGCGTGGTGGAGCTGCTTCTTCGATTTCTCGATTTTAAAATATATATAGGTACGTATTGTATGCACCTTATAGTATAATATATATATATATAAGTAGGGCTTTTTCCTTCTTTTCTTTGGGGATATCCGTGAGGGCTCGCTGCAGTTTCGCCATTAATTATTTGCACCGCATATAGGTACCGATCCGAGAAACTATCAAGCACATATCGATGATTCGTTTCTTCCGTAACTTGATAGCCCCAGCCAACAGCCACTATGTAATATATAGGTGTATTTTTTCTCACATACATTTCATTCTAATGTTACTTATAATATACATCAAGTACTGATGATTTCAGTAGCGTAGGACATAAAAAAAGCCCAATTGATCTATAGAGTAATTCCCAAAGATATGTCTTTCTCTCTCGTCCTCGAACGAGTACCACATCTTAATCTATTAATTTATCATCCGTACAGGTAGATCAATTGATGTATCATCAACGCACATAGATATTGGTTAACTTATGGTTGGCCATAACAATAATACACATATATATACATGTACTTGATTACCGAGTAGGTAACTACAACAGAAGGTAGGGGTGTAATTTATATCTATATTATAATATTTAACGCGACAAGCATTGTGAAGACTCAGTCATGCTCGTAAGACGACAAAAAACGTGTATTTATTACTGTGTCCAAGGTATCACAGTATAGAAAAGTATTAGGTGCATGGTTGTAGGTTGTAGTAGTGAGGTATGCTAGATGGCATACGGGGTGCATGCAGAAAGAAAGAGAATGAGAGAACGTCCCGTGGCCACTGCATTGGATTCATGCATCAGGGCAACGGCCTGATGCGTCCTATAAGTCCTTACCTCTATATATATGTACACGTACAAGTTAGTACTTAGTTCAGGTACAAGTATCATATACATAGCACGAGAGCGCAGGTCAGGATCAGCTCAGGCTCCCTTTCGCAGAGAGAAGCGAGCGCTTACATACGTTAGCTATATAAGACGTATCGCTGTAGCGTCGTATGGCTTGGCTTGCAGCTGATAAGATGAGCTTACATATACCATATGTATCATTTATAAAAATACATGTCAGTACCAAAGTCCCATTGATATACCTCGTGTGTTTACTCACTACGTCACCGGAGATAGTTCATTTATTCTCGTTTATTATTCCCTTCCCCCAGTGCACTTGCTGCGGGATAGTATGGTTCGATACGGGACAACAAGCCTTGGCTCGTCTTGAAAAATTTTCAGGTTTATGGGAATTTAGTATAAATATCAAGTTTAACACTTCATTCGTTGAAAAGTGATTTTAAACATATTTATAATCTTAAAACAAGTCATAATGTGAGAAAGTAAGTTGTTGTCATTATCAATGTCGTAGGAAAAAACTGTTGTTTTCATGTCGGGAACTTTATTGAGCTTTACATTTTTTAGTGAAATCAAAGACCTGAATGGTGTGCCACTTAATTTGAGCCTTGCAATGTGAACCACGATTGCAGAGACGAGACAAGAAACTTATCAGACATTTGCAATAAAGCGCCGTTATTTCAACAAACGTAGGACCACACTTTCTTTTCTTAAAGGGTATATACAAAAACACGAGGTACCCATTGCAACTAATGTGACACAGTAGATGATTTATTAACTGATTCGCCTGTAATGCGCTAAACAGGAAGCGGGAAACTCAATTATTGTGCTCGAGCGCCCCGAGGTGCCAATAAAAATAATTGTATTAAGTTTGAGTTTATTAATTTTTGTGAATGTCGAGGCACGAGGATAACTTATCAGAAAGAAAAACAAAGATGGGAAGGGATGATCCCGTCGCGAAATTGATTTTTCTTCGAAATAGTGCACGCGAGAAATCATATCTCTGCTTAAGCGCGTGAAACTATTACAAATTTAATGTACGAATTTGGAAAAATGACGGGCCACCGAAGAGCGAATCGTAAATTTGTTTCGAGCTCTATACTTACTCATCACTATATAGGTACTTCTCGGGTGTCTCTCGGTCTAAGGCCGCTCGCGCGCGATCGAATGAAAATACAAGCTACTTTATGGGACCGCCTTCATAACAGATTACCATATTCATATGCGAGCCGAGCGGAGCCATATAGGTATATGTATATGTAATAGGTACACCAGTGGCCGGCTGCAAGCTGCTGGCATGCAAGTCTCGTGTGCCCGCGCGCAGGGGATGCGATGTAAATTTTGCTACGAGAGTTTAGGGAATTTTTATTCATCGCTCTCTGTCCCTCTCCGTCTCCTCTTATCCATTTCTTTCTCTCGCGTAAGGACGCTCCAGTAAAAGTGCAAGCATACGATGCATACGATAAACTACATAATACATCGAACCGAAAACAGGAGAAATAGATTTCTTTTGGAGTATTTCGTACTTTCTATCTTTCGATCGTCCGGCGTATTGATGCTATTTTTACGACCACACCATCTAACCGCGCGCGGTACATCGATGCATGTGTTTTTTCCGAGTTTTTGGATACTTGGTGATATTTATACGCGAAAAAGTCTCGTCAAGATCTAATTAATACTTAAAAATGCGACAGGTGAAATATGATTTTTCAAAACGCATCCACTCTAATTTCCGCCACGGGATCCGAGTGCTCGAAATAAGTTAATTCTCAAGCCATTTCCCTGAATGTCCAGCGCGCTCCAGGCCGAGTGCTTATATTATATGTATACATACACAAATGCATGAAGGTTTTTCCCCCGGGAGGAGATGATAAGGGGGTGGTGAGTGCCTGCTTCGACGTTGTACAGCGATAATTACAGCGAGACACGTGTTTAACATTCAAAGGCCGGCCCCAGCAGAATAACGCTCCGACAAACAAAATTGCTCATTTTTACGATCTCGCTGACGCGGTCCCACGCATACGTACTACTTACGCAGCCCTGCTTGCATTTAAAAAAAAAAGTGTTGGGCATACCTATTTTCGCTAATTTTCTCCTTCTATAAAAATACTTCATGAGAACTCTTTCGTTTCATTTGTTTTATTCATTTGTCGTTACATAATTACCATCGCATTTTTTCCCTCCACTTTTTTGCGTTATGAGTTACGTATACACACATCAAGTAAAATTAAAACAATAATTGTACGCCATGCGTACTAAACTAATTACGTGTTCTCGGGGTGGCTCCTACGCAGAGGGAAAGAAAGTCCGCGATAATTCACCGCAGGAATGTGAAAAACGAGTAGGGTTTACATTAATGAGGTAGTAGTTTTTTTTCCCTGGATATACGGTATGTTTGATAATGCCACCAGATTTTAGTAAATAACTCCGCTGCTTGTATATTCAACATCAATTTAGTTAAATAATTTTACTAGGTATGCAAGCAAACAATCAATATGGATATGTGTGTATAGTATTGCAAGATTATTAAAATCAATTATATCCAACGATATTGTAATATTTTGTACTTTTTTTATATAAACTATTGTAAGGCCTTCTAGTCCCTTCCTTTATTGGAATATTGTGCACGAGCGATGAAGCAGAATCGAGTCCTGAGATTCTAGAGTACCGTGAACACGATTCCCCGACGAAAATGTACCTTCCTTGGCCTCCACACATCATTCGATGCATCGACAGCTGCGTGTAATATAATGGCAAAAGCGGTGGAGTCGAGCAAGTGTCCATTTTACAATAGTCCTCGGGTGCCTTTTGAAATACTCTTTAATCAGATAAAATAATTGCAACTATAATTACTGATGTACTCGTATCGATGCATATAAACGTACGTGTTGGTGCAAAAACTTGTGAAGCTTGAAAGAATCAAAGTTTTAACGATTTAAATGATTTTTAAATAAAATATTGCAACTTTCTTTTTTTTTTTTTTTTTTTCTTTCGTTTTTTTCGACCATTCACTCTTCAGTTTGAATCAAACTATATGTGTATGTATATATTTTTTGCAAGAAAGTCAAACAATTTTATTTTCCTTTCAACAGTTTGTCGCAAGTAACTTCTTGACCGGTTTTCTGGCTGCCAAAGGGTGACCTTGATATCGCGGAATATCTGTCCATCGGTATGGAATGTCATTTTTTCATAGGTAACCACTGATGGTTCTATAATTTCTCTACATGCAAATATCAAGAGGTTGTCCATGCAAATACACGAGGAAAGTAGAGGAAAAATAAGTGCTATATTTAATTGGGTACACGTCAACGACCCTCTGTCTCGATCTCTCTCTTTTCTGCAGGGGCCACGAATATGCACCTACCCACTGCATGTCCCTCGATGCCCCCCTTCAAACCTGTTTGCTCTACTACATGTTGGAACATTAACCGCGTGGGATCGCCCAACACTTTCGTCTAATTTTTCACAGTGTACCGTGCTACATCAGCTCGAACCATCCCTTTTTTTTTTTTTTTTTTTTTGCTTCTCAAGGCAGATTAAATATTACGCGACTGCGCTTGAAAAAAGAGTGACAATGTTTTTGTAAAAAAGCAATCAAATCGGTGAATACTTTTATCTCGGAATATTTTTAATACCCGAAATTCATACGGACATGTTTGGACGAAGCCTGTAGGAAACATGAAATCAGGCGTTATTGTAATAAAGTGATCTAAAATCGTGTCGGAGAACTATTTGTTTCCAAAGCGCTGTTTATTCACCAAGAGCCACTCTATAGAACTGCTGCGTATATAAAATTGGTTACTCGAAATATTTACTCGACAACCGGACTATTTCGCCCAATTTCTTGCAACGACTGCAAATCGACAAAGCGAAAAAATTGACGAATAGAAGACGCGACTGGATCCACATGAATGGTCACGTATAGGTTAAGCAAGCGCGTAGAGGCGTTTTGGCTCATGTATACAACGTGCATTATATTTGCCGGATTGCAGATGCGTCGTCGTCGAACGAGGCGGTGCACCTCCAGCAGCGGCTGCGCAGCTTGAGCACGGAGCTGGTGACGCTGCGGAACCGGCTGCACGTGGGCCAGCCGACGGGGGCGACCAGCCAAGCAGCCAAGCAGTCCCCGCAGCCCTCGTCGAGCTCACCGACCGCCCCTGCTGTGCCACCCCGCACCAGTCTGGCCCTCGTTCACCAGCAAAGCGGCGCTTCCGGCCCAAATGGCATGCCCGCAGGTCAGTTGTTTTCTCTTCTCCTAGCTCCTTTTTCCCGTCGCGGCTCGTACTTTGTATAAGCACCTGACGCGTGGCCCGGTTTTAGATCTCGAGCCGGCGAAGCGACATCGGGCCCTACCGGACGATGCTCTGGTCTCGTGCGTCACGGCAGTAGGTTCGGGAGTCAGGAGCGCCAGCAGCGCGTCCCTCGCTTTTGACTCGAAAAGCACTTCGAAGCACCAGTCGGCAGCACAGCAGCCCCCGCAAAGGCCCAACAGCGTCGAATGGCAGGGAAAAGGTGTCGCGCTAGCGAGTCAGCAGCAGCAGCAGATCGTTGGCTTGCTGAATGGCGTGGCCCTGGATGACCTCATACACCTGCCTGGGCCCCTTACCGAGGACGCCGTCCTCAAGTGCCTGCAGGCCCGCTTCTGCGCCAAGCATTACCACGTACATTCAACATATATACATATATATCATTCATTTTTTTTTAACCACGACTCCCATTGTTTTTCGTTTCTATACATTCCTCCCTCCCACGATGCATGATTACCTTCCCGTTCCATCAATTTGCCTCTTTGTTTTGTTATCTCCTTTTTTTTTATTTAAAAATTTTTTTTTTTCTCCATCTGATTCATAATGATGGAGCGACTAACTAGTGATAACNGGATTTCTCTTTTATATGTATATTTTTTTCAATGACATCACAAAATCTCTACTTACTATGTCCGTTAATAATAAAAGGAAGAATATTTTCGAATACAACATAAACTAAATAATATAATTGTTGATACTACAAACTACGAAAATAACAGTGAACACAAGTTTAAAATAAATGTTAGTTTCTAAGTTCTTGAAATTTTTCTTTTTTTCTTTTAATTTTGCTCTGCAATAAATAAACTTCACACGCACTTAAGTAATGCTTTTTCATTGTCTTCTAGTTTAAATAAACATTTTTTTTTTCTGTACTATTGAGTCATTATTCGCATTCCGCTTTTCTTATTTAAAAATTTTTTTTTTTCTCCATCTGATTCATAATGATGGAGCGACTAACTAGTGATAACAACGAATCGGTATATTGTATACCGATACATAGCCGTCGTCGCGTCACCGAGATCCAACACACTTTTCACGCCCAGTGCAAACTAACGCGTGTAGGTATAGGACGATGACATTGTGATAATATATAATTATGCGGTATGTCAATGCTCGCTAGTTTGACCGTATAGCAGACTTTTTTTTATGCCATGCTCAATTGAATGTCCCATTTGCATTATACACCGATTCACCAGCACCTACATTGCAACGAGCATGTACTTATTGCATAATAAAGTGGGTTTATTGTACTAGCTGCAGATATACTGGTGTCATCAGCTTCAACGCATACATCTCACTCCAAGTATGATATCAGTGTAAAGCTGGATCTCGGTTTCCGTTATACCCCTATCAAATGTTGTTTTTTTTTGCCTTCCGTTAAGCATCATTTTCTCTCGTTTCACCTTTTGCTCTACCGTGAATAAAATTGATTATCATCGAGGTAATGTTTACATGGTCTACGAATAATTGTTTCTTTTTAGGGCCAAAAAATGTATCTAAGCAGTATCGAGGGGATACAAGTCCATATGACCACTAGGTACTCGTGATGTGGGATTACTTTGATAAATTTCCAAAATTTTTTCAAAGACGCACATGATATTATTATTATCCTCATTACCTATTTGTTATCATCTTATCAGTAATTTGTCTCTATGTTACTGCATTTGCGTTTGGACTTTTAACTAATTCAAATTTCTTTTGCTTTCAATCATGTCCCCATGTTTATTTATTTTTATCTCTATTTATATGATACAAAATTTTACCAAGTAGGTATTTGCATCGTTCACTCATGGGTATTTACAAGAGATACGTCATTCATCAAGGGGTGACGTGTAACACCTATACACGTGAAGTTTTAATGCAATATCGGCATCGATATTTGTGGCTAACAGAATTAACCTGTTGGAATATTATTTCAATAGAATTCGCCCGACGCCTGCAGTATTCGCTCGCGTTATTTAATTAAATTACCACAACTACTATAGCAACGCGTCAATGATGCATTCTGCAGAACTTTCGAACGGTATAGGTATAGGTATACTGTTACAACGGTGGCTGCTGCGAAGCACATACTTACCCGCCAAGATGATCCGAAATTGGCCAAAATGTGTTGATCAATTCATTATTTGGCTAAGGCTCCAAGAGAAATCGATTAACTAGCGCTCGATGAATATACATTGTTTATAAACTTACGTAAATCGGCACATTTTAATGAGTAGAGTGCAATTATTTCGCTAGACCACTAAGAAAACTGATGTTCATGAAATGTGATATCCAAGCGCATTTTTGTACACAATTTTAAGTTGCACGAATGTTTTATTACATGTGGCAAAAGTTGCGCCACTCTTTAAATTATTTTTATTTCGGTGGAAAATCGATTATAACCGGGACATTCGTTCGAACATCTTTTGCGTGGAAATTGCCTCCCGAATCGATGTCGAGGTTGGCAACGCTCCTAGCACTGAATCCAACTGTTTACTCGAGAAGCAATGTCACGCTTTGATCCTCGGAAACAGGAAAAAAAAGAAGTACTTTCGAAGAGGCATCAGAGACAATTTTATTTTTATTTGTTGTCCATATTAAAACACTGAAAATGACCTTTTGCATTTTTTTCTTCAAAATTAATGACTTTCAAGAAATAGTACTATTTAAGTAAAAGAGAAAAAAACCACCAAGTCGTTGTTCTCACGAATACATAATAACACTCCCGTAAGCTTTACTTAGTGAAAACTTTTCAAACAGGATACATTTATACGTTTTTTTTTTTAATAAATAATATTCATATTGCTTTTTGAAGCACGTACCTGGGTACGTTGATACTTTGTTTGTTGGTATATTTATGTATCCTCTTTGTTATTGGTCACAGAGACAGTAATGACCCCTGTATCGCGTATCAATCGAGTTTCTTGTACGGTGTCATACGCGGACCAACGGTACGACGATAAATTGGTTTCTGATCGGGTTTAACGTAAAAAGCCAAAGGTATAGCTTTGACATACATTTATAGATTCGTGTACGAAGATACACCTGTATGTATATGTATATGTCTGTTTATATAGATTCACTCACTTTTACAAACTTTTACGATGAGAAAAGGTATACTTTGGTATTCCTAATCCAATTTAGGTTTCTCGACCGAATCTCAGCTCACCATCGCGGCCACGCAAACTCGTTTTTCGCCTCTCGCGTTCGTATAAGGTTAACGTACGTACAGTATGTTAGGTATATCTGTTAACGTTGTGCCCGAGCACACATGTTACATATATATATATATATCCTACATCTGCAGCCGTGCAAGGGTTGCATATACATATACGTATATGTGTATACACATACCCGTGGTACGTATAGATGTTCGTTGTTTTTATATACATGTATAACAAAGTAAATATATAGGTATAGATGTTGGTGCCAAAGTGGTTTTTTTCCTCCCTCTCTCGGCCCGGCTCTTTTCTTTGGGGTTCATTCAATCGCGCCTGAAAGCTTTTTTCGTTTTGTTTGGCCTCTGTAGAACGGACTTTTACTTTGCTGTTATTGTTGGTGGTGGTGGTTAGGTGCAGTTCTTTTTTTATTCATTTTCTTTTGTTTTCCAGTTCATTCCGTCCCAAGAAAGTTGGGAGCCGGGTACAGGATAACGATAGCACCAGATCTATACCTATACCTGTTTGTATTGTACACGGGAGTCTCCTTTAACCAAAATCTTAAATTATTCATCCGGAATGAGCTTCTTTATAAACATATTTTATTTTTCGTAATTGGAAAAAATTATTATCCATCCGAATGAGTGCTAAGCATTAATTTGTTTCGAGACATAAGCAACGATACAATTTGCAGTAACAAAGGCTATTACGATTTATCCGAGACTAGGTGATTTTTCATCAACCAAGCTCATCAATACTCGACAAGCCGACGAGCTGTTAAACAAACAAATAAATTACAGTCAAGCTCCTGGTATACGTGCCATGTACGCATATATGCTTGTACCGAGCAACAATAAAAAAAAAAAAAAAACGATGATGTCGTACGAACGTCTCTGGTAAAAAAATATTCGTGGTCGAGGCCAAAATCAAGTTGAGGATAGAATGTGCCAGGGGAAGGAGAGATAATAATATGGAGGCAGAAAACGGTGATAGGGCGAGGGAGTAGTCTTTACGAGGAGAAACTGGTCGATGCCAGAGTTGTAGATATATAAATACATGCCATCACGGCAGCCGACCGAGAGGATCTCTTTGACTCATTTTATTCTCTCTCGGTCCTTTGAGCATCTGTGCTCCTGTGAGTATACCTACTGCGCACGAGTGCCCTAAACACACTACACATACATGTAATCATGCGATTTTCAGCGCTTTACTTACAACAATTAATCTTTAAGGTTCATAATTTTTTGTTATCTCGATGTTTCTCTCGAGGCATTGATTTTCAAGTCACATATATAATTTGCCAATAATTGGATTTTGCATCAGTCCCAAGAAAAATTATTGAAATAAGCGTGCCGTATGACTATACGTAGTAAAGAGGTACACTTAGCAGGTTGTTTTGAGATCTGATAATATACGGATGCCGTTTCCCGCGTCATTGTACCGCACGTATCTACATAGCTATATTTTTTTTCCTTTTTTTTTTTTTTTTTTTTTTCTTCTTCTTGCAATACGCATACGATGATACAATGGGAGATAGTGAGCGCATGGGTTATAGCTGCCTCAAACAATGAAGCTCGCGTAAGCGTTTGAAGACGAGCACGGACGTTTCTTCTATACTTAATTATTGTACACACCTACGTAGGTATACATATTATAAGCTTACACTCCATTTACTTAATGAAGGAGATGTACAACAGTGTGTGGGTTTTTTTTCCCTGTATGGTTGCAGACGAACGTGGGGCCGATCTTGGTTTGCTTGAACCCGTACACGAACGTTGGAAACCCGTTGACCTTGACGAGCACCAGGGCCGTACCGCTAACTTCTCACCTGAACAGGGTTGTGCAGGAGGCTGTGCGCCAGCAAACAGAGACCGGCTATCCTCAGGCCATTATACTTTCCGGTGAGTACACGCATGCACGTTTCCTTTAATGTAACGATGCGTACACCTATGTTATTGTCTGCAATTATTATATACATGCACGACACCCGCGTTCATGATTTTTCCCTCGTAGTACGTCTGACATTATTGTGAGTCAAATGAGTCCTATCCTCCCGAGAGTGTGCTCCGAAACAAATTTTTATTTGAAATTCGGGGACCATTTCGAAATATTTTTTGTGGATTTCAATAACATACATACATATATATTTTCAATCATGAATAAATAATGCAACAAAAGTTTTGTCTTGTTAGAGTTACACATAAAAGTTGCATGAGAGTGCGGGATTTGGAAAATTTTTGGGATTTATTAATTTTTGCACAAGTAAGTGTAGTGGGTTGAATTTCAATTAATGAAAATTGTGCAAATGAAAAAAAAAAAAAAAAAAAAAAAAAAAAGAAGAAAAATTCGCGATGGACTCGGAAAATGCCGAAACAACAACTCTAATGTAAATTAACGAAATTGGCAATAATATGTATCAACAGGCACAAGTGGATCTGGAAAGACGTACGCGTCGATGCTGCTTCTGCGACAGCTGTTCGACGTGGCGGGAGGAGGCCCCGAGACCGATGCGTTCAAGCACCTCGCAGCCGCTTTCACGGTCCTCAGGTCGCTCGGCTCGGCAAAGACCGCCACCAACTCCGAGAGCTCCAGAATCGTACGTTTGCTATGTGTATATACACTTGATTCTATGTACACTACACTACAATCAAGTACCACCACCCTTATCGATTCATTACATTGGCAGATAATTATCCGACGAATGTAAGCAAATCGTGGTCGTCTCGATGACGTGCAAGTTAAGCGCGTTTCTAATCATCTATTTTTTGAATGTGGGAAATCACTTGGTCATCACCCCATTAACTATACCGAACGAACATTATTCTCGAGTTCACGGAGCAAAATCAATGGAAAGTGCCCGCACACGTTATACTTATCCAGTCAAAATAATTTCTGCTGCACTAGCTTTTTTTTCTCCACTAGGGTATAACTTACGAAAAGTAGCTTGTTTCGAGGCTGTGGTTAAAAGTAAAGTTATGTTTGCCCGGTTTAACGATTTCTCGTAACCCAATAACCATTTCAATAGCTGTCTAGGTACTTACAACGAAACATAATTAGTACAGGGTTCGTCACTCATTTTTCAGGATTAATAAAATTAAAAAAGAAAAAAAAGTGAGAAGTTTCCATTGTTCATTGTATCGCTAGATAACATACACGTACATGCTGGATTTAACTCTCAGTTTGTTTGACCTGCTTGTCCATTCAACAAACTGGTGGGAGAAAAAAAAAAAAAAAAAAAAAAAGGCTTTGGTTATGTTAGAAGGTTGCAATGATTCTTTCGTAGGGGCACTTTATCGAAGTGCAGGTGACGGATGGAGCGCTCTACAGAACAAAGATCCACTGTTACTTTCTGGACCAGACGCGAGTCATTCGGCCGCTACCCGACGAGAAGAACTACCACATATTTTACCAGATGCTCGCGGGCCTGTCGCAAGAGGAGCGAGCGAGGTTGCACCTCGAGGGCTACAGCCTGAAGAACCTCAGGTACTTGCAGAACGGCGACACGAGGCAAGACGAGGCCGAAGACGCGGCTCGATTTCAAGCTTGGAAGGCTTGTTTGGGTGGGCTATTTTACTATTTATATGCATACGCGTGCAATGTCAATTTGACCACGGACAATAAAACAAAGACGAATGTTTCGTTCAGGTGTCCTGGGAATACCGTTCCTGGACGTGGTGCGGGTACTGGCTGCGGTGCTGATACTCGGCAACGTTGGCTTCGCCGACGGCCCGGGGCTCGAGGTCGGCGTCATCGGTGAGACCGAGTTGGCCTCGGTCGCGGCTCTCCTCGGAGTTACACCGGCCGCCCTTCTGCGCGGCCTCACCTCACGCACTCACAATGCCCGGGGCCAGCTGGTCAAGTCCCTCTGCGATGCTAACATGGTACGGTAACCCAATCAACCAACCTACCGCAATGACGTATTTAACTTTTTTTTTTTTTTTTTTTTTTTTCCCTTTTTTGTTGCGCAGTCCAACATGACGAGGGACTCGTTGTTTACGGCCCTCTACTGTCGGACGGTAGCGACTATCGTCAGGCGGGCCAACAGCCTCAAGAGACTCGGCTCGACCCTCGGCACCCTGTCCTCAGACTCGAACGAGTCGGTTCACAATCAGGCAGAGGTAACGAGCCAGCATGCCTCCACCATAGGCAGCTCGGCGGGTAAGCATATTTATACTTCATCCCCGTCCACTTTCTATAAATGTCCTTTTTTTCGAGTCTCGCGCGAATTATACGTATATGTACTTTAAACTTTGACACACACACGCGCGCGGACGCGCGCGCTTTTGAGGGTGGGGGGGTGATTGAACCTTTATCCTTAAAAAAAAAAAAAAAAAAAAAAAATTGTTGAATCGACGTGTAAGGGGGCACGGGCTCGCGGAGCATGGCTGCCCTGAACAACGCGGTCAGGCACGCCACCGACGGTTTCATCGGTATCCTGGACATGTTCGGTTTCGAGGATCCAAAGCCGAGCCAACTGGAGCACCTTTGCATAAACCTGTGCGCCGAGACGATGCAGCACTTTTACAACACCCACATATTCAAAAGCTCGATCGAGAGCTGCAGGGACGAGGGCATCAGGTGCGACGTCGAGGTCGATTACGTCGACAACGTCCCTTGCATCGATCTCATATCATCCCTGGTGAGTATCGAATAAACCCCCAGCCCCTCTCCCCCCTTGTCGATGCAGTGACGTTTATCATCCGGATAGCGCACGGGCCTACTGAGCATGCTGGACGCCGAGTGCTCGATCAGGGGCACGGCCGAGAGCTACGTCGCCAAGGTCAAGCTGCAGCACAAGCAAAACCCCCGGCTGTACGAGTCGCGCGCCCTCGACGGCCGATCCTTCGGCATACAGCACTTTGCCGGCCGGGTCACCTACGACACCTCCGACTTTCTCGGTAATTCAAATGCCCTCGGCTCAACTCTGCGCCTCTGGACTCTTTATTTGCTTGATGTTTACTTTTGCTTACAGACACGAACAAGGATGTCGTTCCGGACGATCTGGTGGCCGTATTTTACAAACACTCGTGCACCTTTGGTTTCGCGACTCACCTGTTTGGGAGCGAGCTGAAGGCTCTCTACGCCAGCGAAACAGTGCCCAGGGGAGTTAGTTTTCGTATATCGCCAACCTCCCACACGGATCTGTGAGTACCTACCGATGATGATACTTTTTTTTTTTTTTTTTTTTTTTTCAATCTATACTTATATTATATCAAGTAGTTCTTCCCTTACATTTCTTAACAGCTTGTAGCATAGCCCATGTGTATATCCATGCACAACGTCATATGGATATACAAATTAAACATGGGTTAGCAGAGCTATACTATACGCTATGCGACGAACTTTCGACAATTAGGTCCCTGCAGTTCATTCCTGCACGTGTTGACTGTACCTACACTGACTGTAGGAAGTTAATCTTACCCCAAGGGTTGTACATTACTACCTTAATTACGTATACGCCGGGCGTTGTGGCACTGCGCGTCTATTATATTACATTATACATGTATCATATAGGTATAAATATATATATATAGATGTAGGTGTTGGTCGGTATGTCTACTCTATAATATATACGGATTAAACCGAGTATGAACTCTATAATTATATTATACACTTGAAGGGTGTATTTATTATCAGTAACAGATTCAGTTGTAACGTTAAATTTGAGGTTTTATTACCGTTTAATCGATCGTCTGTTGTAAGGTATTAAGGCATCAAGTGTTAAAGCTGTAACCGACTATTATATACATATATAAGCTCTTGACGTGACCGACTCATTTTGACAATGGGGAAGCACAATGCGCAATTATGATGTGCCCAAGACATACGATTGGGCACGATTAGGCGTGTGGCATTTCACAGGGAGGTCCCGCTATATACTTATAATATACATATATTACATCAATGTCACTGTTGCACGTTGCAGACTGAACGGTGACGAACCCATTTCCACGCTGACTCAGGATTTTCACACGCGACTCGACAACCTGCTGAGGACCCTGGTGCACGCGAGGCCACATTTCGTCAGATGCGTAAGGAGCAACGCGTCCGAAACACCCATGCAATTCAACCGGAACGTGGCCATGCGACAGATTAGATCGCTCCAAGTACTCGAGACTGTCAATCTCATGGCTGGCGGTACTTTTTATACCTCACTATAATTATGTTTTTCTTTTTTTTGTTCATACATCTTGCAGAACGTACCTACATAGTTTTACCCTTACTCACGGTGCTCTTTATCTTTTCTCATGACAATAATCCGTCGTACAAGTATTGGTATAAGTATATATTTTTTAGCTGTACGTCCGATTGATTATACTTGTTGTTCCGTTTTTGCGCTATTGATTTCAAAGAGATATCTAGCACCTCCTCGCTACATCGGGTATATATTATAAACCTTGTATTACGTAGGCTACCCCCATCGGATGCGCTTCAAGGCGTTCAACGCGCGCTACCGACTGATAGCGCCGTTCAAGCAGTTGCGCCGCAGCGAGGAGCAAGCGATCGAGGACACAAAGCTGATCCTCCAAAACGCACAACAGCTAAAGAGCAGCTTCAACGCGAGTACGAGCTGGGCCCTCGGCAAGCGGCACATCTTCCTCAGCGAGGGCATCAGGCAGCAGCTCGAGAGCCTGCGCTCCGACATACGCAGGCGGGCCGCCACCGACATACAGGTCATATTTATACCTCACCTGTATTTTTCTCTTTCCGTGCCGTTCCTCGTACTTGCTCATGGGGCCCGAACTCGACTACTTACAGGCAAATTGGCGCGGCTGGCGAATCCGTCGGAGATGGACGCTGCGCCGCTCAAACTTGACACTGGGTAGTGGCGGTCAGCTTTTGCAAGCTGCCCCGGCGGTGGCGGCGCTTCCGACCACGGGGACGCTGCCGCGGAGCGGCGTCAGGCCCAGGCCTCAGCCGATAGCCGGCACGCCACCGCCCGACCCGTCCGACAAGTGCGCCGACCCGCAGATGATCCAGCAGACCTGCACCCTCTTTGGCCTCGATCTCGTAAGACATTAAAATCCACTATTAATGTATTGTATACGCGCCGATCATCCCTTTGGCTCCTACGTACAGTGTAACCGCGCCATAACAATAACAAGCGTAGACTGATACGATTTTCTTCACAACAAGGAACGACCACCTCCGCTGCCGCCTAGCAGATCGTACACGGTGACCGGCAACACGAAGCTCGGGTATCCGCAGACGCGGGTAATGAAGAAACCTTTTCCAGGTAGGAACTTGAATGATCGTGTTGTCGTGTTGTCGTGTCGTATGCATTAACACTCCCCGATTTTTCCGCAACAGAAGAGGGCGAGGGTGAGGTCGTCTTGCTCAAGGGTGAGGCAGTCCTGGTGATCGGGGCGTCGCCGAGGCGCGGCCATCTGCTCGTCGAGCACAACAATATTACTCTGCACGTGCCCTATCAATTCATGGAGCTCAAGCCGTGCAACATCAACGTCTGAAACTCTGCCGAATTACTTTGTTTAACGAGAATTTTTTTTTTTTTTTTTTTCCCTCTAAACCATTAGACTGAACGTGCTTTAAAGCTTACTTTTTGTCGTGTAAGGAGCCCGTGTTCGAGCTCTACTTTTTTATTTATTTTATCATGTATTTTTTTTTTTTTTTCAATACGCTC